TAGATACTGATGTAAATTTTGTTTGGTCCCTCTTCATAGAGGAAAATGTTTTACGCAGTACCATACGTTAAAAAAGTACTAGGAACTTTAATTGTTTTTGTAAATAAAAATGTTATAATTATTGAAAAACAACACCTAAAGTGCATTATGATGATTTAAATAACGTGCAGGTTGCCCAAAAATGTGCGGTCCCTGGCATATGTCTTAGAGATTTCTATGCGGTATGCAATGTGTTAATAACAATAATAATACTAGAGGCCTGGTGGACGAATCCATGCACAAGTGGGGTCCCTTGGCCTGGCCTGTGGGATTGGGCCCAAACCAACTCTCCGACATCCCCCGAGGAGTCCCGGATTGCGAGAGGGCAAGGCCAGGCCGAAGGACCCCACTGGTGCATGATCAGGGCCAGGGAGGGACGCGGGAGGTTGGTCAGCCGGGGAGGGACCTCAGGAGGGCTCCAGGGCATGTCCAGCCCTTCTCGCTCAGTCCCGATTGGCTGGACCCCAGCAGCAAGCTAACCTACCAGTTGGAGCGTCTGCTCCCTGGTGGTCAGTGTGCATCATAGCAAGCGGTTGAGTGGTCTTAGCATATCATTAGTATATTATGCTTTGATTGGTTGAACGGATGACTGGATAACTGGGCACTTAGCATATTAGGCTTTTATTATATAGGATACTGTAATAAGATATCTTAATTGTACTCTACTTACCCTTCTTGCGATGATGTGAGATGATACCATGCCTACATGATGAGATGAAGGGAGGTGAATTACATTAGCATCGATGAGAGCATTAGACTGCGATAAGGTTTACTTGTACAAAACACTGTGATACCCAGACGGTCAATCTGATAACTGAGATGACTACTAAGTGGCTGAAGGTGGGACACAGAGATGATTCATGTCCTAATTCGGATGTAGTAGGTCAGAGGGAGATTTCATCATGCTACTTAGAATGGCATGAAATTTAAAACTTATGAATTGTTTAGTTCTGGAATTTTTCATTTAATATTTTTGGACCCCACTTGACTGTATGTAACTAAAACCAGAAAAAGCAAAACCAGAAATGATGGGAGACTACTTATAATATGGGCATACATAAAACATGAATATTGTGTTCCATTCCTTACCTATGATTTGCACTGATAATAGAATTTTAGACTATACATGTGACCATTGGAAAACACGTGATAAAATTTAGGGCGTGGGGAGGGATGCACTGGGGCAGGGAAAAGGAATTGGGAGACTGTTGTAATTGTATGTTACTTTTTTCAAATACAGGAATAATAATTTTTATTGATTTAGATTTGAAAAGTCTAATCAGAATGTAGATGCATTCAGCAAATAAAAAGAGGAAAAGATCTATTAACCAGCCCAGGTTATATAATATTGAAGTGAATCATTTATGCCTTTAGCTGATCGCCCTCCTCTTCCTACTTGGAGTGTGACTACTGTGCCTTGAATGACCAATTAAGAAAATGACTAGTTATTTGGATTTTAGAAGCATTTTCATGTACTTAGATTCACAGATTTGCTCTCTCTTGCTATGCAGTGAATTTGCGGAGCCTGTTGAAATTCTGCTCATTGGAGCTACTGGTGGAGCGGTCCTTGGACGCCATCTAGTGAGCAGAATCACAATCACCAAGAGTGACTCTCCCTTCGGTGTTGTAAGATTTCTTAATCAAAGCAGAATTTCTCTTTCTAATCCCAATTCTACAATGACTTTACCCTTGGTGCTGGAGCGTACTGGAGGACTCTCAGGAGAGATTCAGGTAGAGTTATTATTCTCATGGTTTTAAAAATAATTTTAAAAAATATATATTTTATAGAGTTTTTACAGAGAGAAGGAGAGAGGGATAGAGAGTTAGAAACATCGATGAGAGAGAAACATCAATCAGCTACTTCCTGCACACCCCTACTAGGGATGTGCCTGCAACCAAGGTACATGCCCTTGACCAGAATCGAACCTGGGACCCTTCAGTCTGTAGGCCGATGCTCTATTCACTGAGCCAAACCAGTTCGGGCTTAAAAATAATTTTTGATAATTAAGTTTGGTGTTGGATTTTCTTTTTCCTCAAATATATTCATTTATTTATTCACAATCAATAATATTTATTAATCACCTAGTAGGTATAAAGCAGTTTCTAAGTCCTATGAAGCACATAAAAATGTATGACAGCTAACCTCAGGGAATTCTTGAGAGCAAGTAAGAAATTAAAGGATGGATTCTGGTAGATGCATGCATTCAACAAGTATCTGTTGAGAGCTTTCAGGGTGCCAGACCCTGTTGTGGGCACTGAGAACATGCTGGTGAACACGACCTTGTCTCTGTTCTCATATAACTTTATATATATATGTATATTATTGATTGTTTACAGAGAGGAAGGTAGAGAGATAGAGAGTTAGAAACATCAACGGAAGAGAAACATCGATCAGCTGCCTCCTGTACACCTCCTACTGGGGATGTGCCCGCAACCAAGGTACATGTCCTTGACCAGAATTGAACCTGGGACCTTTCAGTCCGCAGGCCGACGCTCTATCCACTGAGCCAAACTGGTTAGGGCATGTTCTCATATAACCTTTAGAATAGTTAGCAAATAAATAAAAGAAAGATGATCAGATGATACTAAGTCAGAGGTCCTCAAACTTTTTTTTTTTTTGTCCCTCAGACATCCCACACATGCGCTCTGCGGGCCCGGGACAAGTCGGCTGTTAAGCAGGACAGGCAGCAGCGGCAAAAACACCGGGTGGGCCGGATAAATGTTTTCGGCAGGTCGCATGTGGCCCGCGGGCCGTAGTTTGAGGACGCCTGGACTAAGTGCTTTACAGCAATGTGAAATAGATTCACAACTGCACATGACCTGCTAGCTACTCTAGATGGGATGGTGAGGATGTGATTTTTAAACCGAAGGCTGAAGGATGAGAAACGGGTGGTTATGTCATTGTTGGAGGGATGAGTGTTCGAGGAGAGGGAAAGCCAGTGCAGATCTATAAGGCTGGCATGTTGAGATCTGAAGAGGTCCATGTTTGGGGACCTGGAGATGCTGGACTGTCAAGAAGCTGAATTGGAAACAGAATGGGCAGTTAGTAGGCGATTGTCCTGTACTGTCCAGGGCAGAGCTGTCAGCTCAGACAAGGGCGGAGGTGGAGATAGCCGGAAGTGAATAGACATTGAGTATGTTTTGGAAGAACACTTCATTGGACTAGTGGAGGCCGAAGAAAAGAAAGAATTGAGGGTCGCTGCTGGAATGTTAGTTTTAGCAACCAGTTATATTATAGTGCTGCTTACTGAAATACAGATGCTTGGGGGAGAATCAAGAGTTCGGTTTTGGCCTGTCCATTTGAGATACCTATGAGACATCCCAATAGAGGGGTCAAATAGGGAGGGGGATGAGCAAGTGTGGGTTGGGGTTAGGGCTGCAGACAGGGACGGTGTTGACACAAATGCAGGCATTTGAAACTCTGGGGCCTACGGGGTGTAGAATGAGATGTGAAGGAAACAGACCTGAGCCCCAGGCTGCCGCCTCTGCGGGTCTGAGGAAGGAGAGCCAGCAAAGATTGAGAAGAAAAGCAGAGGAACACTAGGGGATAGCCTGTATTGTGTGAGCATCGTGTAAGTCAAGAGAGACAGGACACAGTATTTTAGGAAAAAGGAAAGGATCAGTTGTGTGCAGTGCTGACGAGAGATAAAAGAAGCAAACAGAAGTGCCCAGTTTTCTTTCTTTATGAATATTGAGAAGCATAAAATTTTAAATTATAGAAACTTTAAAAAATGCCTTTATTATAACATAGAAACTTTCTTTGTTATAACAAGTTAGGAAAGTTTCTGTTCATTTTCTACTGGGAATTTATTTAAGTAGATTTAGAAGAGGTTGCATACCCAGCAGACTTTTCACATGGTTTCATTATTCAGATAGGTTTTGATTGACATAACCTGTGCACATAGCAAGATAGTGTTGTATTCATATATTTAATTTTTTTATATTTCTCTAGTATATATTTTAAAAATATGTACTTCTATATTTTTGTTATCCTGTGATGATGAAAACTGACTAGGTATTCAGATTTCTTTTTTTGTTAGACATTGTTATTCATGAAAACTGATATTCTATAATTATGCAGTTTACATTTGCAGATATCATTGTTTAAAAAACTGAGAGATAATAATAGGAATTTGCTGGAGATATTCTAGAATAATATTCATATATGTGTGTATTTTTTCCTAATACTACATATCCTGCAAAGTAATTCTTGGTTTAAAACTGATCATTTGTATTTAAAACTCACATACACACATGCCCTGCAGGTGAACTGGGAGATAGTAGGACCCAATTCTCAGGACGCCTTACCACCACAGAACGGAGACTTCGCAGACCCCGTGAGCGGGGCCTTCTACTTTGGAGAGGGAGAAGGTGGCGTGAGAACCATAATTCTGACCGTTCATCCTCACGAAGAAATTGAAGTCGAAGAGACTTTCGTTATTAAGCTTACACTTGTGAAGGGACAAGCTAAGTTAGACTCCAGAGCTAATGCTGTTACGTTAACAGTAAGTCTGATTTTTTTTATTTTCCCACAGAATTTTTAGTGGAGTTATCAGAAAATGCATTTACATTTGTTGAAACTCGGAAAGCTTATGATGAATTGACACTTATAAAACCAAATTCCTATGGTTGTTAAGTTAGTTTCTTACATAGCCTGATTAATGGTATTAGTTCTAAGAGGGTTTAATGCAGTGAAACATACTTATTTTATATTCTCTAAGAAAATTTGGTGGATATTTGCCACATTTAGGCAGGAGGTACTTGTGATGTCATCCTAAATATTGCCTCTCTTTGCCATCAAAATACATAAACATTATTAACCAGTTTCAAGTCAGACTGTGTGAAGTTAGAATGGTACTTGTTCAACTAGCACAATGATGTGTTGGATTAGATTCACCTTCAGCGTATTTGATATGAACCACCCAGTCCATCAGGGCAGAATGTGTTTGGACAAACACAGCTAGATGTTGCCATGAAGGTATTTTGTAGATGTGATTAATATTTACAGTCAGTTTACTCTAAGTAAAGGAGACTATCCTTGATAATGTGTATGGGCCTCAACCAATCCGTTGAAGGCCTTGAGCGCTAATACTGAGATTTCAGGAGAAGATATCTGCCTCAAGAAATCCTGTGTAAGTTTCCAGCCTGCCCCATAGAATTCAAACTCAAGACCACACCTTCAACTCGTGCCTGGGTTTTCTGTCTGCTAGACTGCCCACTTGCCATTTCTTTTTCTGCCAAAGTAAACTGGGGAAAGAGATGGTTTATTTTGCAATACTCTGCTTTAGAATCCTTTCCGGTGTGAAATAGTCCTCTGCCACGACTGTCAACCTCTTTATCCCCCCAAATTTCAACATAAGAACACCCAGAGCTTGGGGAACTTGTTGGTTCCCTCAATCAATCTTTCCTTCCTCTCTCCCCTCCTCTCTCATTTCCTCCCTCTCTCCCTATTTCTCTGGAGAAGTTTGACTGATACAGACCCCAGACAAGAGTATTATCCAAACTTAAAAGATGTCATTTCTCTGCATTGTTTTCAGTAGCCCAAACAATTGGGCACCATAATCTATAAATTGACACATAAAACTAAGTATCACTGGACCTTTTGCCTCTCTCTACCTTGTATTATAACCAGTAGAAAGAAGTTAGCAAAAATTAACTGATTAAACAAAACAAACATAAGGCAAAATGAACCTAAATCGAGACATGAAAATACTATCCTTTTGAGATTCTGCAAATTGTAGTTTTCTGGACACTTATTCCCATTATCCTTGGGGAATAAGAACTTGCTTATTTTAGGTAACACTCAGTGTAATAAAGAAGGTTTAAAAACCAGATAGCTAGATAGATTTAAGTATTATTTCTATGTCTCTTCCATTCCTTCAGCATTGATTGATACGTTGGATACTGTATTTTCATCCATAGTTGTTATATATGGTATTCACTCTGCTGTTTCTATTTTTAGATACAGAAGTTTGGAGACCCCAATGGGGTGGTTCAGTTCGCTCCTGAGTCTTTGTCTGTGAAGACCTATTTGGAGCCCTCAGCCCTGGAAGGGCCCCTGATCATCACTTTCATGGTCAAAAGAGTCAAGGGCGTTTTTGGAGAGATTAAGGTATCATTTTTCATTTTATTTTTAAGTAGAGCAACAACTTGCTTAACAAACATGGTTGAGAGGGACAGAGAAACGGCGTTGTTCTGGTTAAAGGTTTTCATAAACTGAAGTGACACGAGTTTTCACAGAAGCGGAGAAGTGCCTCGGGCTCTCCAGCCAGGCCCGCCTTCAGCGATCTCTCCACATGGCATCACAATTAGATTAAAAAGATCTTCCTCACACTTAGTCAGGAAGAGTATGATTCAACTGTTTTGTATTTTCTGGTTTGCTACTTTTCCTACTTAAATCTCTGAGTTTTGTAAATTGCTTAATGTATTCTCTTGGGCTTTATTTCTCAATAGAACTTAATATAGCAACTGATTTTTAAGAGATTGCGTTTGAGTGTTTATTGATATAGATGCCCTTGTAAATCATCAAGATACTTGTCTAACCGATCTAGGTTACATATTTGGTGAAATTTCTCAATGAAGTTACCTCTTTTCCTGTAACTGCTACTTGTTCAGTTGAAGTTTTATGGTTTGGAGGGCGAAAATTCTTGGAAAATAATCTTTAATTCTACGAAATCTAATAGATATTTCCTTGTAGTTAAAGAACAGACAAGAACAAATTCTGATGTGAAATATTTGATTATCTAGTCACATTTACCTTCAACCACTGTCTGTGGTTTGCTGTGGAATGACATGTGGTACCGCCATTTTAAAGTTAACTTGCTCTTCTTTATCTCTTCAAAATGGTATTCTTTTAGGAGTAGGTAAAATGAGATCTCGTAGTCTTTCCTGCCAGTTGCATACGACAGCCTGAAAGAGTGAAGATACTTTCACGACACAGACGTCACTCCTCTGTACTTTCTAAACTAATAACTCCTTGGAGACTGTGAATATAATGATGCACAGTTAATATTTCCCTTTTGTTTATTAGAAAGGAAAACATAATTCAAAGGATTTTCAATTCAAAACATAATTCATAATTCAAAACATAATTCAATTTACTGCATCATATAACATTGTTGGATTTTTTCCCCCCATTTATCTTAGGTTTACTGGGAAATAAGTAGTCAGTTTGACATTACTGGAGACTTTCTCTCTACAAAAGGCTTTTTCATCATTGCTGATGGAGAGCGTGAAGTGAGCTTTGATGTTCATTTGCTACCAGATGATGTACCCGAGATAGAGGAAGCCTATGTGATCCAGCTTGTTTCCGTAGAGGGAGGAGCCGAACTGGACCCAGAAAAATGCATCACGCAGTTCTCTGTTTCTGCAAATGATGACCCACATGGAGTCTTCGCTCTGTATGCAGGTCGCCAGGCAGTGCTCATTGAGCAGGACCTCACCAGGTCCATCCAAGTCAATGTAACCCGGCTTGCCGGGACTTTCGGAGATGTGGCTGTCAGATATAGAATATCATCTGATCATAAGGAGCAGCCAGTTGTTACGGAGAATGCAGAGAGGCAGCTGGTGGTCCAAGATGGTGCCAGCTCTAAAGTGGACACGGTGCCAGTAAAGAGCCAGGTTTGTAGTCTCTCTTGATTTCCTGGTCATTCCAGTCAAGCTCCTTCAGTGAGAGCCCTGACTTACCTCAGGATCAGATTAAATCTTATTTGGAAATTATATGTAACCAGGGAAAATGCCTTGGAAAATGCATAGTGATTATTGGGTAATACAAAGAGTGAAGTATTCACAGATTATAAGTGAATAAGTATATTTCAATTTGGAGATGGGATATTTTTGTCTAGGACAGTAGCAGGCATTTATTTAATCCTTGCAAAGTTCCAGAAATCATTTCAATTGATATACATACACACCCCAATATACACACATGTGCACATACACACACAGACTTACACACATGTACATACACTCACAAGATACTTGTTGAAGGGGAGAAATTTAGGCTTTCTTGTGGGACTGGCCTGTGTTCCCTGGAGTTTGGAGGGTCTGCATGAACACAGGGGCTGGTATCTGCTTCTCTCCTTGTGCATCTGTGTGGAAAGTGGCTCTGACTGTCTGTGATGGTAAAAACTAGAGAAGGCAGTAGACAGCTCTGGCAGATGTTTGGGGTGTGAGTGAAAAGAATGTGTGGATTTGCTGTGAGTCCTGTAGGTACCTCAGCAGTCTCTCTCAGTCTGAATCACAGAGAGTGATGCGAGTGACTCTTTGTCTTATTCCTCTCGAGGATGGTACATAGCTAGTGTCATTCTGTATGCATAGGAGATAATTTATTTCATACATGTGATGCACTATGGCACTGGGAATTAATTATCTCGTTGTTGGAAAGGTTGCCCCAGAGGGTAACCAGATTGAAATAATTCTGGGAAAAATCTGTGGGGTGGATTGTAAAGCTTGGTGAGAATCTAAGAAAGGTTGTGGTCTCAGAAGATTAGTGAGGGGTAGAATTCTGAAGTCTTTGAGGAACACCTACGTCAATTCCATGAGCGGTCCAGAATTTGAGTGCCTGCCTCTATGGAAGGATAGTGGTCAGCCAGTGTTAGGCAAGAAAGGACTACATCAGGGAGGCAGAATTGTTGTCATTCTTTCTCAAAGCAATACTCCCTGTCCCCCGTCCCAAACCTTGAATGTGCCAGAAGATTGGTGGGAAGGTCTAAGGGGGACTGAGGGAATATTGAAACATCATACCATGACCCCTTTCCCACTGCAGATCCTGAACCGCAAATCACACAAGAACTAGGATAAACAGGGGAGCTTTTACTGTGTGCCTGGTGGAAGTCACGATTGATAGAGGTCTGGCCTTTACCTTCCTGAAAGTGACATAAGCTTCAAGACTTCCCCACAACATTGTTTCTTTGTGGAAAGAAACCCCACAAAGCACTAACCGGAGAAAAATGAAGCAGTTTGCTATTTGTATTCCACTAAGGTTAGCCGACTCAGTGTTGATGATCTTAGTTTCATATAAGTTTATGACCAGTATAAAACAGGCTGCCATTCAGAATAAGCAATAAACATATGATACTAATTCACACCTGGTGTGTAGCCTGTCCATCTTTTGTGCACCCGAGTCTTTACTTTTGTTGTTTAATAAAGGATAAAAAATGGAGCTTCTTAGTGCACATGGGTTCCATAACTGTTCCTCTGTAGTTCTTTGGGAAATTGACTCAATGCCACGGGCCTATTGTGTCAATTTCTAACCTCTGTTTTCTATAAACAAAAATTCTTAAGACTGGAATAGAGTGCAAAGCTGGGGAAATAAGAAGTGGATTAATTTAACCAGAATATCCTTTTGTTAAGTCTCATTTACAAATGATCAGAGTTTCTTTTAAATACTGTGTGCTTAAGTTACATAATTATAAAATTACACAATAACTTGAAACATCTTCCTACACATATCTGTGTAACATCACCATCTAAACACCTTCATGTTATAATTTCTGCTAATGAATACGGGGACGTTTCTTCAGCTTTTCTAGGAATAGTTTTATTTTATATATCTTATATTGATACTAAGGTTTCATTTGACACCGAGACATGGCACATTGGTGATTTGACCATTCTGTTCTTCACTAAGCAATGTGGCAAGTACACAGTTATTCTCAGACTGTGTATAGGAAAACCCAAATATGTTATAAATATCACATGGACTGAAACCATTGATCTGCCTAAGACTGAGGTCATCTGTTGCTAGTGCTACTTGTGGCATTTTGAAAGATGGTGGTCTTTTGATTTCACTTTGAAAGCTTAATAATATAGTTTATAAAAATACGTAACTTTCTTAATACCTACTTGAATCATCTATGAGTTTTTAATACCTTTTTGAACCTATTTTAATTATTTCTATTTTCAAGAGAGCCAACAAAAGTTGACTAACTTATGAACACATGAACGCTTCCTTTTTTTAAGAAACATATTTCACTAGTATTAACATATTTAAAATTGCACAGGTTCCTTCTTCCTCTCACATTTCAGGAATGTGGTGTGGGACTAGATAGATTATATTAGGTGTTGCTGTGTCTTCCAAGGTAACTGTGTGGGGCAGGTTGTGATGCACAAACCAAGGGCAGAATATTTTCAGTGGTCCCCTTCTTCCCTCACACCCTGGAGATAATGCATTGCCCTCTGAAGTTTGCAAGATACTAGTTACAAGAATTCTATACCGTTCTCCTTGTTCTACCCTCCTGGTAAAAATTAAGACCTTGGCAGGGCAGTAGGTCTTAGAACACAGAAAGTTTCCATTAGGCTCTGAAACTAGAAGACACTTGGTGCTGACTGAACATCAGGACCTGCGAGTATAAACTGTTGCCTCACCTGGTTAACAGTAGGCTTCTTTTATGAGGTGCATCCTGATGGTAAGACTCACTGGCATTATAAAGAAACAAGTCCAAGTTTAAAATTATTTAAGCTAGAAGGCGAGGACTTTACACTTGTGGTTGAGTCATGTATTCAAACATTTATTGACTGTTCGCCCTGTGCCAGCCATTGCAGTAAGCATAGCCAGTACAGAGGTGACAAAGACACAATCTCCGTCGTCCTGTTGCTCCTTGTCTAGTGCAGAGGGCCATTAACCGCAGTTACAAAAGCGTGGGTCCGCGGTGTTGGTCGTGTGCGCCGGATATCACGGAGCTGTACGCTCTTTCCATTTGGGCCCAGATGCGATCAGCACGGTGGGAACCAGTAGAACGGTACTGGTGATGCAGTCCTGGAGCAGGGGAGGCAGGGCATGCTGGAGAACATGCCCCCTCCTAGTCACCGTCAAGGTCCTTTTCACTGAATCCCCTGCGTTTCTTCTGTAGTAAACCAGCTTTTCCGCAACTTTGCTGTGACTGCTGTTCGACTTCAATGTCCAGTTACTGTACCCTGGGGATTTGCTGCGGCCACACGTCTGTGTGTGCTGGCTGCGCTCCTGAGCAGAGCAGCCGGGTGGGGAGGCACAATGACTGGGAGCCTGGCCCTTCCTTTATTAGGAAATAGGGACCAAAAACCCCTTAGCTGCTCAGCCAGTGAACTGCCTGGGAAAGAGGGCCTACGCTTAGAAGCGAGGTGGGAAACATGGGAGTGAAGGCAGGACACTGATTGATTTCTGTTTCCTTAGCACCGTGGTCGGCAAACTGCGGCTCGTGAGCCACATGCGGCTCTTTGGCCCCTTGAGTGTGGCTCTTCTGAAGCCTTAGGAGTACCCTAATTAAGTAAATAACAGTGTACTTAACTATATAGTTTAGGTTTAAAAAATTTGGCTCTCAAAAGAAGTTTCAATCGTCGTACTGTTGATATTTGGCTCTGTTGACTGATGAGTTTGCCGACCACTGCCTTAGCAATTGACCTGTGATTCATGTTCTGTGAATGCCATTTGGACAAAAATGAAGATGGATTGAAAGAACGAGGCACCTGTTCCCCGCAATTTGAAATCACTATGGTACATATTTTGCACATTTGGAGGGTGTGATGTACGTTTGAGAACATTATCTTTAAAAGAAGAATGGACTCCACTGACGTGGTTATTTATACATTCAATAAAGACATACAGAGTTTTTAGCAATATTCCAGGTTATGTGCTAACTTGTCTGATCCATTATCAACAACAGTATTTCTTTGGGAAAATGTATTGTATAGTTAAAAATAATATTTTAGAGAAACATCAGTTTTAAAATTCAGGCTTTCCCTTATTTTGTTGTATTCTAAAACTTTGAAAATTGATATTTAATACATGGCACTAGTAATTATTTGTCAGATATTCAAATAATAAGTGCACCTAAATCATTATCCATTTTGAGTAAATATGGATTATTAGTTACTGTCCATGAAGAGGTTTTTCTGGTTTTAGAAGCTGACACTATCCACCTGTGGGTTCCTTCCAATCCTGTAGCACAGATTCTATCACTAATAGTTCTTTTTGTGAGTCTGATTTCTGAGACCACTTGGGAACCATGGAGAATTCGCACATTTGTTTTTTATATACTCTGTTACTATCACTCTTCACCCCACAGTCTCCATAACAGTGATTTGTTTATAACATGAAGGAAAGGGCATAGATTGATGGAACAGATACAAACGTATGCTGAGGTCATGTGCTAATGACTTATGCCAATCTCGGTATTTTTCTCGCAAAGTTATTTTTTAATACTTAAAGTCATGGATACTGTTTGTTTATTATAGGTCTTCCTATCACTGGGCTCTAATTTCACTTTGCAACTGGTGACTGTGATGCTTGTTGGTGGACGTTCCTATGGCGTGCCAAAAATTCTCCAGGAAGCCAAATCCGCTGTCCTACCTGTCCCCGAGAAAGCTGCCAATTCCCAGGTAATTGGCCCTGGGTGTGGTACTCTCTGGATACCACCAGGGGGCAACATTTATAGGAAGGACTAAGATTCAGAGAATTTTTTAACATTCACTATTACCTTAAATCATCCCATCTGGCGGGGGAATGGGTGGAAAAGGTGAAAGGGATTAAGAAGTACAAATTTCCAGTTATTAAGTAGTCACGAAGATATAAAGTACAGCATAAGGAATATAGTCAACAATATTGTAATAACCCTGAATGGTATCATATGGATACTAGATTTATCAAAGTGATCACTGTAAGGTATATAAATGCCTCATCACTATATTATACACCTGAAACTAATATAATACTGTATCTGTAGTTGAAAAATAAATTTAAATTTAAAAATAAAATAAAAATCTAAGTAATCCTATGAATATCAAAGTAGACATGGATATACCATATGAAAACAGTTTGTCAATTTTTGACTTTAGGTAGAATAATATATTTCCTTTTTGGAGTTTTAGAAAGATTGTATCTTGTAAAATTTGAATGTAAAGTATAGAATTTTAAAAATGACAGTCACTTTGAGTCAGAATTTCCAAGGTTTTTTTCTTGATATTAAATATTTAATATTGCAGTATTTTATATTAAACTAGAGGCCTGGTGCACGAATTTATGCATGGGTGGGGTCCCTCAGCCTGGCCAGTGATTGGAGCCTATTGGGGCTGTGAGAGGTTGGCTGGCTGGGGGGAGGGGCTGGGGGGAGGGACTGTGGGAGGTTGGCTGTGGGAGCACACTGACCACCAGGGGGCAGCTCCTGCATTGAGCATCTTCCCCTGGCGGTCATTGTGCGTCATAGTGACTGGTCGACTGATCATTCAGTCGCTTAGGCTTTTATATATCTATATA